GAAAGTAGAATTTTCTGAAAAGTAATTTTTGAAAATAGGAACCAAGCAAAGTGATTTGTATTATTTTATGTCTAACCTAACATCTTAAAAAAGGAATTTTAAACATATTATTATATTGGCCGACTGTGAAATATATTTCATATTTTTTATACAATAATATTATATACTTAGAATTTTATCTAAAAAATTATTAATTTATTATATATATAAACTCCATAATACATTAATTAAATTTCAACCACACTTCTCCATATCCATACCTAATAATTTTCTTGAAAAAATTTTGAGTAAGAAGAATTTTTGGTTTTTACAAGAAAGGAAGAAGCAAAAGTGTTTACAAAAGGAATTTGAAAAGTTCTCAAAATAATTGGGAACAACTTTTGAAAGGGTTGGTGATTCTTTATTTCTAAACTAGCGTATGCCCGTGCCTAAAGGCACGGTGTAAATAATTTTAAAATTAAAATACAGTTATAATTTATACGTATTATGTTGAAATTTATACAGTTTATGTCATTTTTTGATAAAGATACTGAAAAAATATATTGAAATATTTTGCTTGTATTACACGCTCTACAAAAATCAAATAAAATGACAACTCTCCCTAATCTTAATGCAAATTAAGAAACAAACATTTAAGAAATTTGAAATAATTATACATTTTGTATAAAAATTCATATAATAAAATATATACAATTATTATGAATTTTGTTAAGCAATATTTTTAAAATAATGCTATATGTACTAATTGGTATATCAATTAATATACTAACAGAAGATATGGTAAAATTTTAAATATTTTTGGTATTTATAATTTATATAATAAGTGGAGTAAGTAATAATGTCATAATATATGTTGGTATATTAATTAGTGCATGTAGCACCACTGATATTTTTAAGCACTAATTATGCATTAGTTTTGCAATAAGTTGAGTTTATTAGTGTAACTTCTTTTAGTCCAATTGTTCTCAAAATTGATGAGAAAAGTTGAAGATGAATAATGCATCAATTAAATGCAGATACAGAGGGACAGCCAAATTATTTAGTATACACGCTATGGACATAAAATTAGCATCTGAATCAGACAATTGGCAATTCTTTGGATAGTTAATGCACTTTAAACCCTATTGCTCTCACAATTGGGATTGACCATATTTATACTTGACCCTTTTATAAGTAAATCTCTACTATTTATTATATTGACTTTTGGAGAAACTTTGTTCCCTTGTGCATATTAATGATTTTATTGCTTAATAATTAATAATTAATAATTAATAATTTTTTGGATTAATTATATTAACCCTTAAAATTTAGAGAAAATATAACAAATTTGATAATTTTAACATAATTATGTCCGTCTTTCTCTTTTAATAATGCTAAAGGAACTAAAATTAATGCATATAATGTGAGATATAAATATAAATAAAGTAAAATATATATTTTAATGTAAAAGAGATAATAGTATCATTTTTCTATCTATATGGCTAATAAATTATTAATAAATATGGGACAAATTTTATGTCAATTAAAATTTTAAAAGAACTTAACATACTTTATGTTGAATTTGTAATACTTATTATATTTTCTCTAAATTTTAAGAGAGATTATCATAATTTATCCATATTTTTTAAAGAAATTTTACTTATGATATTCACACTATTAATTCCTTAAGTTATGAGAGATTAAAAAATCAAAATTAAAGTATAATGAAAAAAGAAAACTTATATTTCATTCGTATTTTCGTATTTTTCTTCTAAATCTTTACCTAAATTCATGATCCAAATGTTAGGTCTTGTAGACCTTGATAAGTATTATACAGGTGTGTTTGATTGGAGGGATAGGAGGGATTATTTACTGTACGAATTGTAATCCGAGGGAAGCATTCAATCTAACATTTGTTTTTTTTTTTTTAGTCTGCCGAACATGGAGTCCGGCCGGACTCTTTATCCCCTGTATGGGGCATTATACTATCCTAGGCGGGGGTGTGGGACAATTTTGGAGGGATTATTTACTGTTGGGATTAGGCGGTACAATGACCATTTTGACCCTCTACTATTTAATTATCCTAATCGAGTCCATACATGTATCACAGTCATGAAATTTTACCGTTTCGGTGCAGATGAACGGAAAAACAGGGGGACGACTCTTCTTGGAGAGGTAGATGATGGTTCTACAAGCTCGATTTGCTGTGATAGAGAGGTCGACGACTGTCTTCGGTGTTGGTTAAGCTTCTTCTCAGTCGCCAGAGGAGAGGAGAATATGAGAGAAGAGTGTGAGAGACGAGAGTTAGGGCAATCAAACGGGTATATATAGTGGTATTTTCGTAAATAATGTAGATTAGGAGGGGCATTTAAGTCATTTTAGCACCCACCATGCAGTTGCGCGCTTAAGCTATAAACTTAAGCATCCCCAGACCCACTTTTCAAATAAGTTAAAAATTAGCTTCATTTAAGCTATAAGTTGGTGAAATAAGCCAAGCCAAACACATGTTTTTAACTTAAATTAAGTTAAAAGCTGAAATAAGCTACTTATAAGTTCTACCAAACAGGGCCATTATTGAACTAGAAGCGCGCGTTTGCTCTTTTAACGTTGGTTGTTAAAGATTGTTGTATATGATTAAATAAATTTTCTTAAATAGATTTAGCATAAGATAACTTGTTACATTTTTACTAGTACTAGAGTCATCTTCAAAAAAAATTTTTGAAAATTATTTGTTGTTCTAACATTGTATGAAATACATATTAAATTACAAAGGATAACTTACACTAACACCTCTTAATGTTTGGATTAATACAAATTATTCCTCCATGTTTGATAAATTACATTGCACTCCTCTTAGTTTTTGTTTGTTAACAAAATTGACAGAAAACATTAAAGGACCATAATACCCTAAATCGGAAGATTGAAATTATCTTATTAGAGTGTTTCCAAGACCTTTTTCTTTCATTAAATTTAAATTTGATGAAAAAAGTCCAGTTTTTGTGCTCCAACGTTAATATTAAACAAATATCAAATTGAGAATTTCTTAAAATTTTCATCAAATTGAGCCTCCGTTTAGCAAGAAAAAGCCCAGGCTTTTTTGGCTAAAATAACCACAAAAAACAAAATAGGCTATTTTAGCCACAAAAAACAAAACATCAAATCCAACCCATAATCATTACAATCCTCTCTCACAAAAAAAGCCAAAAAAATCAAAAAGCCAAAAAGTCCTTCCCAAACCAGGCTAAAATAGCCCAGGCTAAAAAAATTAAAAAGCCAAAAAGCCAAAAAGCCAACTCACTTCTCAAACGGAGGTTGAAACATCTTAAGCTTTTCAATTTAAAATAATTAAGTTCGTAGTTCTGCAAAATGTACATTTTGTGCTTATATATCCATTCAATTATTTGTAATTTTTTATATAAGAAAATATTATGTTTTTATTAAAATAATTATCATGTCTTTGGAAAATTCTCTATCAACAATATAACTAAGGCCAATTTTGATAACATCAAATTTTAGTCAAAAAAATAATTACAAAAAATAATTCATTGTGTTTAGTTTTAATTTTTTAAATTCAATTTTTGACAATTGAGTTTTTTTTTTTTCGTGTTTTTTTATTTTTAGTGAATATTTTTAAATTTTAAACAATTTTTTTACTTTTTTAAATACACCTTACTTAGATGTATCTAAATAGTAAAATATTTGTGAAAAATATTTTAAAAAATTAATAAATACACAAAAATATTAAAAAATGTACTAAATTTTAGTATTTATATTTTTTACTTTTAATATTTAGTGATTTTTTTTTACAAATATTATACCTTTTAAGTATATTTATATTAGATGTGTTTAAAAATTTTAAAAAATTACTCATAATATTAAAAAAATTCATTGAAAACAAAAAAATATAAAAATATAATTTTCTAAAAACCAAAGCCAAACAAGCTAATTATTTTCTCCCTTTTTATGTATTTTTATAAAAAATTAAAATATTATCAAAAAAATTAATTTCTAAAACAATCCTAAATAATAATAATAAATTAATTAACAAAATCGTGATAATTTTTGCTTCCTTGAAAGAAAAAAAAAGAAGAAAAGAGATTCGTTAGAGATGTGTATTGACAACAACGAATCAAGATCTTCTCTTTCATCTCTCTCTTTAATTCTCTATTTACTGAGCCAATGGTCTCACTTTTAGGCTTAATTCGATAATCTGAACCATTCACATTTTAAGATTTGTTGAGTATATTATACTTGTAAAAATCAAATTGATCGAATATCAAAAAACATGTGTTCAGAAAACTGTTTATTAAGTTTTTTAAAAAATAGTTTGTAGTTTCATGATTCGAACATATAATTTCTAATATTCTATCAATTTGATTTTTTTTACAAGTATGATATACTCAATAAATTTAAAAATGTGAACGGTTCAGATTATCGAAATTAGACCAAAAAGTGGATCCAATGACCTAGTAATTTTTTTTTTGTTACAGGAAAATCCTCCCTACCCTCCCGCAGGTCCAAGGCAACGCCCCTTACAGAGATCACCAAGGTGTCCTGTTAGCCGTTCCGAGCGAGGAGACTATAACCTGGAAACTTGCCCCGACCTCCCAAGACAAGCTTCGCTTAAGTCAGGACTCGCATAGCGGGGGACTATTGAACTCACACCAAGTATTGACTAGACAACTTGAGGTCCAACCTCCTAACCAAGTGTGCTTCGCCTAGGAGATTGGCCCAATGAGAAAATTGAATTTGTGACATTGGGGCTTAAATCTCAAGGTCTTACCACAATGCTACAACCCCTTGGATTGACCTAGCAAGTTAGGAGTTAAGAAAAGATGAAAGAGAGAATCCTAAATCAAAAATGACTAGGGTGGCTCCAGTGAGCAAGAATTCTCTCCTTGCATTTTTTACTGGCCCTTTCTTGTAACAATTAAAATTCACTTCAAGAGAATCCAACAATTTAATTAATTTTATTAAAAAAATTTAAAATTAAAAAATAATTTTTTTCAAATAGATAAAAAATTACTAAATTAACCTGTTTCCAAATGAGGCCTAACTCATTAGATTCTAAGAAATGAGCCACGTAGAGAAGACAAGGAATGAATCCTCCCTCGGTTCTCGAGCATCAAAAGGTGATGTCAGCAAAAGACCAAGTGACCAAAATGACGTGGCAATGGGGGGACCAGCACAGGTACGGTGGGCGGGAAGCATAGGGTCACGAGTGGGACTCGTGCCAGATGTCCTTTTTTGTCCTCATTCTCTATGCACAACGCCTCACGTTAATTCGGTCCTCCATTAATTTACGGAAAAATATATACTAATATAAAATACAAAATACATGACTCTTAATTAAAATATAAAATTTAATTACTTCAAACTTAATAATTATTTATAATTGATCTAGCAACACTTCTAATATGGACAAAAGAAAAATAAAAAAAGAAGAAATTCTCTCCAATTGCAAAAATTATTAAACAAGTCAAACACCACCAAATCATGTGTCTATCTAATAATATTTTGTGATTTATTATTATATATTTTATTTTTTTAATTATGTAATTATTTATCATTGTTTATTGAGCGAGCACACAACCAATATGATTTTCTTGGAATACAAGATAATGACTCCTCGAGTTAAACATCTAATTAGGCTTGAATAGATCCAACTCGGGAGGATGCAACTTATCATTCTCCTTGTAGAGACATAATTTTTGAATGATAACACGTGGTCGAGATGGTACCGAAGTGTCAGCCGATGTGCCACGTGTGCTGATCATGATGCCGAGGTAATGTCGACAAGGCCGAGATAATCTGCGAGAATACCAAAATCCGAGATAAGCGGATAAGGAACAAGAGCCCTATAATTGGGGAGGACTTCAGTCTGGATAAAGATAAAACTCTTAGAGAGTTTATCACAATCTAACTAGGAGTCCAAGATTAACATTGAGATAGACTCCATTGGAGCTAGGCTTCTATTGGGATTATGTCAGTGTTGGCTATAAAAGAGAGGCATCTTCGTGGGTCTAAGATACGCTTTTGATATTCTGAATAGTGAGTTAAGCACTTTTGCTATCTTTGAGAGATAACAGACTTGATCGTCGGAGTACCCCCGGGTAGTCGAACCACCACCGAAGTCTCTTCTTTCTGTTGCAAGTCGTTCCACCGGAGTCTCTTCTTTCTGTTGCAAGTCGTTCGGGCTTAATCTATTCTGCCGGTGTTCTCCAGCTGGATACTTGTTTGGCAGTGTGGTCGGAAATTGACACACACACTCCTATTTCTCTCCTATAATTAAAATAAATAAATAAAAGAAAAGAAAGACAAATAAATCTCAAGTGGACTTTCGAAACATAACCATTTCCCTATCCCTGAGAACATACAATTATCTGTTAATTTTTAGTATTAAATTCAAATGTTAGCGTTTGATGATGGATTTTTTTGTTTTGTTTGTTTTTTGTTTTGGGGGGAGGGTTGTGTGAGAGTTGAGTTTGAATTACCAACTGTACAAGATTTTAGATTGCTTTGAAAAACAAATATGCTTTTGTGGCTTGACCCAAAACAACGAACTTACAAAAAAAAAAAGCAAACATCTCTTTGCAATGGCATGTGAACATTCTCCAATTAATTGACAAATCGCTTGAAATCAAACTTAAATGGAAATGGTATTGGAAAGTAATTCCAAGGTAAAAGAAAAAGAACTAGGCAATATACCTCTTTTTGATTTAGCAAAGAGAGAGACTGAGTGGTAGTTACCTCTCAGCTTCTTGTGGGACAATTAGGTCCACGAGGGTATTATGCAGAGTGCTCTTGGTGGCCTGCTCATCAGTCCGAGTTCGATCCCCTGCGCCTTCCCAGCATCACTTAGGATACATCTTTATGTGATGTTTTTGCCATGTAAACAAAAATAAAATAAAATAAACTAAATTTTTTAAAAAAAAATAGTAAATTCATACCTCTCGGCTTCTAGTCCATGACTAGAGTTGGTAGAATTAGTAGAGCCCAGAAATCAAGTAATGTATGTCTGACTTCTTGATCTAGGATATAAAGAACAAACAAATGAGAGCTTGCATATGTATATCACAATGCAGAAACAATACCTGCATACATACACAGAGAGAGAGAGAGAGAGAGAGAGAGAGAGAGAATTTTGTAAGCAAACAATACTGCAAATCACTCTATATGCAATTCTGCAACAAACAAAAGGGTGCTTTCCTAATGTTGCGGTTATTGTTGCCTCATTTGATCAGCTAGAGGAGTTCCAAAATATCTCCTCAATATGCAAATATAGTTTTTCGGTTGATTCACTGATATGGTACCAAGATTTGAAAAATCAAGTATGTGCTATCTTCACCCTACTATCTAAACTATAATATAATTTCCAATCTTTTTAATGAGATTAAAAGATGTCCAGTTAAAACGCAGCTACCAAAGAAACATCACTCACCATCACAAGCTAAAAATAACAGCAGCAACTGTACATTGGAGATCTTCGTCAAAGCAGTGGCAAATGAAAATTGTATAAGAAGCATCAAATGTATACCCTTTTGTCATCATCATAATGTATATCTTCTTCAGGTCTAAGCCAGCCTGTACTGTCAAGCAGCAAAGGAAGATAGATCTCTCTGTCATCAAGAGGTATCTGGAAATCAATGGAAGACCATTCATGACTGTCAAGTGTATCTTCTGCAAAATGAGTAATGGATTGTCTGTGGTTTGAGCTATACAAGCAATCCTCTTGCTCCTCTTCTGTAAGAAGATAAGAACATGGACTTTCCTTTTGTGGAGATTGAAAACCGTCATCATAAGTAGACAAGTGAAGTTCACCAAAGGAACCGCTCATTGATAAGCACTTCCATCCAAAATCAAAACGCAGTTGTGAGGGAAGGACAAGTGCTTCCAAATCTGGATGATGCTTTTCACTGAAAACCTTGTTTATAACAAGAAACTTCTCCTCTTCAAGGAATCTTCCCACATCCCAATTACAAAGTTTGGTTGAATCAGGTTGTGGTAGTAAGGTATGTTTGGAAGGATAATTGGAAAAGGACAAAGAGTACGGCTCGCTTGCATCAAAACTTCCATCCAGACAATGCTGGTGATGATGATCCCATGAATTTGCCAATGTGGAATGCGAGTTCGTCTCTGTGTTGCAAGTATTAATTGACGAGTCTCCTTCATCTTTCAAGTTAATAGAATCCCAACCCAATTGCAACAAAGTACATGGCTCTCTTCCAGTAGCAGAATCATCCAGATCTTGAAATTTGTTCAGCTCTTTAACACAAATTGATGTAGTAGATCCATACTTTTCGAAATTAGAACAAAAATATGGATCACGTAGAGTGATCAAACTTGCAGTACCACGTTCATAATCAGAACCAAATTTCTTGTTTTCATACTGAATTTTTTTTTTTGCAGCATAGCTGGTTGAGGGAGAATCAGAGCCTTGGGTCTCCCATTTTGAGGTAATTATTTCTCTTGATCTGCAACGGAAATCATCCAAGTACCACCCCTGCTCATCTTCCACAAGGTCCCTTCTTTGAGTCCAATGAAATTCCTTGTCGCAGGTATTTGAGTCGGGAAAAGCATGTGATGAATATTTGGTGTCAGCTCTCATCTGCGATGGCTTTGCATCCCAGCAATGCTGGCAGACAGAAGTTTTCAGCCTAAAAAGCAAGTGCTAAATAAGACTTCAAACCGCTTACAAAAGCCAAAAGATCATACATTGTTTTCATTACTGTCGGGGAACAGCCGATTGAGGAGAACAGAAACCAAATTACACCTGAAAAATATGAACTGAATTCATAACAAGATATATAAAGAAAACGAAACAACTAAAAAGCTGTCATACAGCTAACCCCTCCAAACAGCTCTCCTTAACCTCAGGTAATGAGGTCTCCACAACCCACTGATGTAATTTCTTTCTCTTTCCAGAAAAGACTCTTTCATCCTGGAATTCAGTCCCTAAAATTCAAGAACACTTCAGTATGTTCTACTAACCAATACCTTTTTAAACATTAAAAAGAGAAATGAGACACTGCATAAATTTGATACTGATAGAAAGTGTTTCAACAAATTTACATTTTAGTACAAATGTGAGAGGCTCCTTATATAGGAGATATAGGTGTAGTAGGTGAAGTGGAGGTGGTAGTGGTGTAGTGGGTTAGGTTTAGTGGAGTAGGTGAGGTGATAGTGGTGTAGGTGAAGGTAAATTCTAACAAAATGTTATCTGATTGCCACGAAGGGGCTGATGATTTGATGCCGAAGCAATTTGGATATCTTGCAACAAGATCCCAACAACAAAATATTCCATATTCTTAACGTTGCATTCTTTTTTCTTGGCCATGAATATGGCATATGTGAATATAATTGAAGTTTTGTGCAAATATAACCTATGCTTCAAACAGGTCTATGCTATATTTGTGTTCATTCCTGCCGCATAGATCCTCCCAAGTATGTTCAACATTTATTTTTTTCTTTCCCCCCTCCCTCCTGTATATTACTGTGCCAACCAAAAAGGTAGTGTTGAATATTTGAAGGGGTGAAACCATAACCTAGAACTTCAAGTTTTGTAGGATCTCTGCATGTTGTATGATGAGATATATGCAGATGAGTGTTTGATTTGGTTCAACAGCTTGCACAAAATAAGGAAAAGTTGTGAATAATATCAATAGTCTGATTCATACTACAAGATTTGCCAAAACAGAGATTTTAAGATCCAAGCTAAAAGTATGATACTTCGTAATATTACCATAGACAGCATGAACAATAAACATTCTAAATTATTTAAATACAGATACACTCCTAACAGAAGAAAACAGAGAAACAGAACAAAACAATGCATTGACAAGCTCATTGACACATTGATAGCTAAAATCACATCTCGTAGAATGTTTCATTTATATCAAAGAAAAAATTGAAGAAATTTATTTCCTATATAAGATCAATCATTTCAAACATTACAATTTAATTGCCAAGCATTTTATCCTTACAGTCCAAAGAAAATGACACACATACCTATGCTATTCTAGGGTTAAAAGCTTTTAGCTTTGGTTGTTTTTAAGCTGTTACTTCGATTTCTTAATTTTATGTTTCAAATTTTTTTTTCACTGTTTGTTTATTGTTACTTTAAGACAACATAATCATCATTACAACATGGTTTGAACTCCATTTGAAAGGTTTTTGGTGTATTTTCCATGGTTGCAATGGGATATCATGAGACGAGACTAAACTGAATAGGTTCAAATGAAAGAAAAATATGCAAGATGCCAAAAAGGCAGATGTAGCAGGTGAATCAAGACTATGATTGAAAGAAAAGGGCCAATCATTTGTATACTCCCTTTCACTTTATGATATTTCTTTTCATTGATTGACAGAAAGAAAAGACTAGCTTTGTTTCAAAAGAATGGCTTAACCTGAAATGTCCAATCACAATGCACACCTGAATTCTTTAATGCACCACAAAGGGGTGAGAGGAGCAAATTGTGGTTAATAGGTTTAACTTTTTCAATGAGCAATGGGGTCCCGATGACCTTGTGGCTATTTTCACCAAAATTAGTTGCCTCTGCATCATATAAAGTAAAAAATAGCAGTCAATAAATTATTACTAGTGAACAAAGAAAATTTTATGCCCATTGATTTGCAAAAAAACTTCATCAAAAGGAAAAAGAAAACTCCAATCTACAGTGGACACCTGAATTCTTTAATGCATTAAATCAAGATTTATTGCTCTCCTACTACATGTACAGCATGAAAAAAATGTCCATTGAATACACTTATACTGAACAAACCCGCCAACCCAGTGTTTTTAAAGGCTCAAGGCGCACTAAGGCGCTGAAGGTCTCTCGGGGCCTAGGCGCAAGGCTAGGCGTGGGCTTTATTGAAGTAAGGCACACAATCTTCGTAAAAAATAGAAAAATTAACATGGACTAATCATTCATAGTACTAAGACAATTTTTTAAAAAATAAAAAGTAATCAAGATTCAAGACAAAATATAGAATAATTCTCAAAGCCATGAAAGTGCATATTACATAACATTCCAATTTTCAAAGATCAAATAATCCACATTCAATAAAATAAAAACATAAACGGCCCACGTCAAGCCATCATCATCATCAAACACAGGCTCATTATCTTCATCTGATTCTCCATCCATCCTCCCAAGCAACCACTCATTGCTTTCATCAATATTTTGCAAAGATATGGGATCAAGAGTGTTGCGCATGTCATACCTAAATCTCAATGTTCTATTGTATTTGACATACACTAAATCATTGAGACGTTGTTGTTCCAATCTATTTCTTTTCTTGCTATGAAGCTGCAAGTATTAAAAAGATATTAAATTCTATATATTGAGAATAAAAAATATTTGAATTGAATAAAAAATTAATTAGAATGTTAAATACTCACATGTTCGAATACACTCCAATTTCGTTCACAATCCGATGAACTACATGTTAGGCTAAGGACTTTTATGGCAAAAGTTTGCAAGTTTGGAGTATAAGAACCATATGATGCCCACCAATCAGTTGCGATAATCCACTAGTTAGAAATAACTGTTACCAAGTATTGAGTTTTACCAAAAGTATTACTAAAAATAAACCGTATGAGTCTATAATTTATTACCTGGTACTCTTGTATTTCTTTGCCTAATCGCAACAGAATTGCCAAAAAGACTCTCAGCCTTCATATAAATACTCATCTCATTAGTGATCAAATCTTGAACAGTGACATCCGGGACCAACCTTTGCATGCATTCATAAAACCCATTCATCACTTCATGATCTTTTTGCACCTCTAACGCTTTTGGATAAAAGAATTCTGGGTTAAGAAAATGCGCAGCTGCATATAAAGGCCGATGCAATTGGACATCCCATCTTTTGTCGATGATTCCGAAGATTTCATTATATTTCTCTTTTTTATGATCAAATGAACTTGCAATGCATTCTTTTGCCCTATCCATTGCCTCATAAATGTATCTCATGGGAGGCTTCTTCTCGGTATCAACCAATCTAAGCACTTTGACAAGAGGACCCGAGACCTTAAGGGCAAACACAACAGTATTCCAAAATGAAGACATCAACAAAGTTTGTGCCATTCTTTTACCTTGTGGCTCCTTTGCCCATTTGCTTGAGGTCCAGTCTTCGGAGATGACCCATCTTTCTCAAATTGTTTTTTTGTTGATGCATCATAGACAAAGTTAAAAAGGCGGTTGCAAATCTAGTTTTTGCAGGCTTGATCAAATTCTTCAAATTTGTATAGCGCCTCGTCATGTTTAGCAACGTAGGCCGATTGTAAATGTAGCCATGTACTGCAATACCTCTTTCAAATGTCTTTTTCAGTCTAGGTATCTTGAAAATGTCTTCTAACATCAAGTCCAAATAATGAGCAACACATGGTGTCCAATACAAGTGTTCATACTTAGCTTCCAAAAACCTCCCTATAATGTAACAATAACGAAGAATTATTATTTTCAAGTTTTTAAATTTTAAATACAAAACAAACTGAGTAAACAATTTTGATGTAAGGAATGAGGAAATATTCTTACCCGCTAACACATTAGCTGCAACACTATCAGTGATAACTTGCACCACATTCTCTTTTCCAACTTTCTCCACAAACTTGTCTAGTAATTCAAATAGCTTTTGCCCATCCTTTGAATAGCTAGAAGCATCAACCGACTCAACAAACATGGTTCCTCTTGGATAATTAACTAAAAAGTTAATCAATGTCCTTCCTCTCTTATCAGTCCAACCATCAGCCATTATGGAACACTTGTATTTTGCATAATCCTCTTTATGATTCTTCATCAAATCTTCAGTATGTCTCACTTCTTTTTTGAGTTGGGTAACCTGCACTTCATGGTAAGTCGGTGGCTTCATACCAGGACCATATTGGCCAATGGCTTCAATCACTGGTCCAAAACTCTCATAATTTACTGCATTAAAAGGATACCAGCATCATACATCCGCCTTGCAAATCTTTGCACTGCCCGAGCTCTCATTTTTTTTTTGTAAGGGTCATTTCCATCAATTTTGGTTTGTTTCCCTTTTGCTTGGTCTCTTCGATTTTTCACTACTGATTCAGGATTGGGTGTGAAGTAAACAAACATAGGCCCTTTTCTCTTTGGCATTTTTGATTTGGATTTGGATGAACCTTGGCTACTACTTGTCAACTTACGGTGTTGATTGACATTGATCTCAACGACATCATCATCTTCATCTTCATCTTCCATGTCCATGTCATCGAAATTAGGCAACATGTTCATTTCTTCTTTTTGTGTCTTTTTTTTTTTTTGCATAAACTCTCTAATCTCTTCTCTTACATGAGAAGGATACTTCGGGCAAGCAGTGACATTCCTATAACCTCCCGCAAGGTGTTGTTTCACCCGATAAACACCTCCATTTGATATTTTACCACAAAAATTACACTCGAACTTGTTTTAATTATCCTCCTTTACCAAATGGGCATATTGCCACGTCGGATCTTTTCTATTACTCTCCGATGTCATTTTCTACACAACAAATTTAATAAATGAAAAAATAATTGTATTAAAAGAATAAATGGAAAACAAATTTAATCCCTAACAGATAAAGGGAAAAAAAAGACCAATACCACATTGTATTAATTAATTGTTTGTGAATAATTAATTATTTGTAAATTTTTTTCCCTAACAGATAAAGGAAAAAAAATATCAATAGCATATTACAAATAATTAATTATTTGTAATTTTTTTTTCCCTAATAGATAAATTCTTCTCTTACATATTACATATAATTTTTTTTTCAATAGCATATTACAAATAATTTTTTTTTTCCCTAATTTTTGTAATTTTTTTTTGTAAATTCTTCTCTTACATTTTTTTTCAGAGACTCAACTCAAATAATTGAAAAAAAAAGAAAAAAAAAGAAGAAGAAGCAAAACAGAGCACTGAAGAAGGAGAGAGAGGAAGAGTCGAAGGCAAAATAGAGCACTGAAGAAGTCGAAGCCCAAAAAAAAAAAAAAAAAAAGCAGAACTGAAAGTCGAAGACGAAGAAGAAGGAGAAGGGGAGAGAGAGTCGAAGTCGAACAGACCTGCGAAGCCGAAGTCGAAGTCCAGTGTCGCAGTCGCAGTCCAGCTCCAGCAGCCCAGTCGAAGTCGAAGTCGAAGTCGAAGTCAATTGCGAGGTGAAAGAGGAAGAGACGACTTCGATTAGGGTTCATTTGAGTCGTATTTGGCTCATATGGTACATAAGTTGTAATCCTCTGTGATTACGAGCCATTCGAAAGGTTCATCTGAGTCGTCAGATCAGATCTACCTCTTAAACAATCAGTCGCGCCTAGGCGAGAGCCTTGCGCCTCTCTCGCCTGGTTCCAATTGCTGCTAAGGCGCGCACCTAACTAAAAGCGCCTCACCTGGTACCTGCTCAGTCGCAGGCAGTGCGCCTCGCCTCGCCTCGCCTTGCGCCTAGACGTGCGCCTAGGTGCGCTTTTCACAACACTGCTCCAACCGGTAGACATATTCCAGGGAAGATATTGTTGGAAAATGGATTGTATAAACTTGTTTTTTGCTAACTTTGAGCATTAATTAAAGTAGGACCCAAGTGTTATTTTTGACATTTCTTGGGTTCATGTTTAATGCGGTGTAGTGAATAATATCATATATTTGGTTGCTCAAAACCATTTCCTGATGAATGAGAATTCAATGCGCATTTTCGGGTTTGTGAAAATGACTTTAGGTGGGTTTCCTACACATTTGTGAAATGTGCTTATCCCACATAGGAAAGACTTAAAGATTTATATGAGTATATATACTTTAGCTTGCCATACTTGGGATGGGCCCCAAGGAGCATCCTAAGTTTTGTAAGGAGGGGAGTTATGGATAAAGTGGACTTGGCCCAAAACCACCACACACACACGCCGCCGTCCGTCCAACTGAGCACGGGTGCGAGGTCTGGGTTGTGTGTCGGATCCTAACTTTAATTTTTTTGACAAAATTCGTTTGAATTTTTTCAAATTCTTGTAGGAATTTTTTTTTCCTTAAGGAAATAATTCAAATCTTGCGCCAAATTTTCAAATTCAAAATTTTGAATTTTCAGGTCATCTCCTTTCTAAACCGGTGTTGTTCCGGTTGCACCTTTCCGGCCATGTCCGAACAACCATCATGGCCTACCCGAACAGGTGCATGGTTGGCTATAAATAGCCTATCATTCCAACATTTCATTCCATCGAATTTTCTTCAACATTTCTTCCTTCTTCTTCCTCTTTTCGTCCTCCTATTTTCTACATCTGTTCTGCATTTAATTTTAAGAAGAGAAAGAGAGAATTACAACATAGTTTTAGTTCACCAGACTTGAGTTTGTAGTGCTACAAATCAAGTATTAGTCGTTGCATCCTGAGAAATAGACGCCGTTAAATCTCGAAGCACCGGAGCAAGGGCGAAATCTACTTTAAGGAGATTGTGTTCAACACAAGCCTAGACTTATAATTTCTGTAAGCAGTTAATTCGGAATTTAATTTATTTAATTATTTTCTGAATTATTTAATTTTATTTTGTTATTTGTTTTATTTATACATTTAATTTACACACACACAACCACTAAGATATAACAAATATTTTAGGGAACAACCCCACACCAATCAAAGTGATTACTGCTTGAACCCACCTCTGGTAAAACTCACTTGGTTTTAACTTTTTTCAATTGGTTGTCCTTTTTATGTAAAGGACAAGAGCGACAGCAACCTCCTGCATCCTGCTTTAATTTCTTGAAGAATGCGTACTCGGAAGTCTTTGGGGCATTGGCTGCATATCATTTTGCATCAGATGAATAATAAATACTGACTATTTTTCATTGCTTCAAATCACCATGGAGTAAAGTGAGCATGAACAAAATATGCACTACTTTGGCAAAAATGGAAATTGATGTGGAGAATAGGGTACTTACATCCTGGATCCCCAATTGCTTCATGTTGCATGGAAGAAACAGTGTGTCTAATATTTGGAGGACAATCCAATTCCGGATCTCTAAACTTCACTCTTTTTCCCCTGATTACATCATCTACAAGAAAGCAGACCACTTCAGCGAGAACCAACAAATATAAACTATTTGGCCAGCAATCCTACATAGGATTAGAGCATCTCCAATCCTTCATCAAATTCATATTTGATTAAAAATGGCAAAAATTGTGCTACAACTATTTCATCAAATCTGTATCAAATCAAAGGAGAGGCAATTTTTTTCACCAAATCAAGGACGAACCAAATCCTTCATCAAATTCCCAACATTCATATTTTTACTCAAATTTGATGAAATTTTGAAAACATTAACGATTGAAGATGGTTTTCTTTCACAAACAAGTTTCTACGATAAGTTTGGAATTTTCAAAAACATATGATTACAAAAAAAATAAAATAAAATAAAATAAAAAATGGAAGGATTGGACTGTTCCATATCACATCAAGCTTTCAACCAAATTTTCACTCAAATTTGATGAAAAATGAGAGAGTACGGTTTGGAGAAGCAATTACAACCCCAAAGAAATTAGACAGTGGCAAAGGTTTCCAGTTGAGAAGTAACCCTAGATAAAGTTGCAAAGACCACGAATAACATTGAGTCATTGTTCAAATATGTCAAATCATCGCAATCAAAACCGGCATTCACAGCAAGTTACACCTCAAATTCAATCACCGTAGAAAATATTTTTAAATTGTATTGAATTGAATAGTAAAAGCAACTAATAATCTTAACAATGACACATTGAAGTCTAGAATTTAGAGAGAAGGGACAAATAGAAAAATACCTCCCGTTTCAGGATAGCTACGAACTCCATTAAAAACTCTAATTGAAGAACTTCGGATTTTTGGAGGATCTCTGGTATTGATTTCGCGTCTTCTCTTCATGATCTCCGAATCAAAAAGAGTTTTTATCAGAGCTTGTCAAAACCCTAGCTCTGGTTCGGTCGAGAGCACGAGAATTTTCAATTGCGAAGGCGGTTTGAAGATGGAACAGACTAAAAGCGGGGGCACATTTGGGCGCCAAAAACGCCGGTTGAGAGGGAGGGTCAGGGATGGTAATTTAAACGCAGTCCGACGGGATCGTTCCCCGACTCTGATTTGAATGATTTTTTTTTCCAAAAATATTTTCGACGGATCAGGGATAATATTTAAAAATGAATCTCCGATCACTTTTGGATCGGAGACGATGATATGTTTTCCAACCCCGTCCCTGGCTCCGACCCCCTGCCCGCTGCCATTCCAAGGGTGTTAAAAATTTGGTGAAATTACATATTTAACCTCAAATCAGATGATCTGGCAGATTACAAGTGGCAGGTAGGTTCACTTGGAGTGGGCTTTCATTCTGTTGATGAATGGCCCGTAGGTATTTTGGGCCCACTTTGGGTTGGTTTTGGTGATACAAAATTGCTCAACTTTAGACCTATTTTGAAAAGTGTTTTTTTTTTAGAACTTACTGATAGGTCTCGTTTAAAATTTGTCTAATTTCAAAACAAAACATTTGAATCAATTAGTTTTATACATTTTTAATTGTGATAAAAAAATCTTGTTAAAAAAAAAAATTAAAGACGTTATATCCCACCACCACCAGACTTTCATTAGACGATCATCGGAAACTTGCCAAAATGTTTAATATCACCGGGAACTTACCAGAATATCACCGAAAATTCATTGAAGTACCGCCGGAATGTTCTAAACGTCATTGAAAGTCGTCGGAATGTCTAGAATGTTTGTTGGACGTCAAAAATATCGTCGGAGACTCACCGGAATGTCTGAAATATTGCCAAAAAAAAAAATAAACTAAGAAATTAAAGTGCAAAAAAATAGCAAAATGTGCTAAATATTGATAAACTGAAAGAAGAAGAAAAAAAACCTAAGAATAACAAACAACAACAGTGAAAAAAAAAAAAACCTATGTTACTTTTAATTTTTGTAAGGTTTAAGCAACCAATTTCTAATATTGATCAAACTGAAACCAAGTTTTGAAACTGTAAAATGTTACAGTTTCAAATTATGATTCTATTAAGTATTTATCCTTATTAATCAAACTCAAAAACATGTTATGAAACTACAAAATTTTGCAGTTCTAAGGAATGATTCATTTCAGCACAAAATAAATAAATAAATTGAAATTGTAAAATTTTACAATTTTCAACGTCTGTAATTAAAACTTGAAAACAACTTGTTTGAGACTTTAAAATTTTCTCCATTATAACAGGACAATAGAAATGTGTAGTATAGAAAAAGTATTAAAATTGAGAAATCGAAGGAAATAGATAGATATAAAGAGATGCTTATACTTCGATAACTATTTTTTTGTTTAGATCTAGCCGAATCTAATGTAAATCTGAGTAGATCTGCATCAGATTTGAGTAGATCTACTCATTTTTTTTGTCAGAAACTCATCTCTTTCGCCGTCGATAACATAAAGTAAAGAGTTAGTGCATGATGGTTGTCCGTGAATTCCAATCAATGGTAGTCGCCGATCGCCGATAATTGTAAATTAGAAAAATAAAGAAAAGAAAGAAGACGTGATTGTTGGTCATCGCCTGATATCAGAGAAAGAGAGATACAAAGAAGAAGCAAAGTATAAAGAAAGAGAAGAAGATAAATGGGTATAGGACTTTTAGGTCTATCTAAAAGGTTTTGGGATTAAATAGAATACACCCTTTTTAAAAAGGACTTTTGAATAATTTTCCCTTTAGTTTTAGCTTATTAATTTATTATAAAAAAATATATAAAAAAATAGAGAGATAATGTGATTCAAATAAGTCAATAAGCCAATAAACTAACTTTTTTTTTTTTCCTTTCCAAAAGAGGCCTAAATGACCCACTGAAAATCAGTTGGATTATATATTGATAATCATATGATCGGAATACATTTGTTTTAAAATAATTGAACGATAATTATTAATTCGAAAATAAATTATTGGTTTTTTTTAAAGAAAAATTTGGTCTAACTAAGTAGTTATTGATATCTAAGGCCTGGTTTGGCTTATACTATATAAGCCAAAAAGTCAAAAAGTTACTCCAAAATCCAAAAAGATATCACTATTTAAAAAAAAAAAAAAAAATTAATTAATTTTTTTCTGCCCAAGTACACACCGAATTGACAACAAGCCAGTTGCTGTGCAGCGACAGTGCACCTAAATGAAAGGATTGGGTGTGATTTGCACACACACCGCTGTTCGGCCTGTGGGGCTTATCACAGATTCCGTTTTGATAATCTGAACCGTTAAATGTGTAGAACTCGTCGATTACTATATGTCTGCAAAAAATCACATTGATTGGATATCGATAACTATATGATCAAATCAGTTATGTACAAAAAATGGATGGTGTTATAATTAATGATTGAAAAATAAATAAGTCTGATCAGATAGCTATCGATATCCTATTAATGTAATTTTTTATAGATACATAGTGTTCGACGAGTTACACACATTGACGGTTCAGATTATTAAAATGGGACCTGTGATGACCCCCACAGGCCAAACAAAACCGTCCAATGCTTTGTACAAAAATTAGGAAATAATTTCCCTAGCCAATTCACTACAGCCGGTTGTACGGCTGGGGCCCACCTCTCACTAATCATCTCTTACACACTCTTTTTATACAATATTTTAATACACATTTTTTCATAAAAAGCTAAAAAGTTAACCCAAACCTCCATATTTTTTTCTCAACTTTTTTAGTCCAAAAAGACAAAAAGTGCACTTTTTTAGAACACCCCAAACCAGCCCTAAATAATCTAAATTTTTGCATGAATGATCTATTTGATAGACTTTTTAAAATGATTTATTTGAATTATTGTAACGCCCCGAAAATTTATAACATCATATAATTACATCAACCAACATTCATTATAAGAAGGGGAGTGATTATTCAACTTTTACATCATTGATCATTAAGGTTTGTACAAGGTAGTTCCACATGCAATTATACATTCAATGATACCAAATACATGAATCTATAGCATGTAGAACATCAAATCCAAAAAAATAAATAAATGCCCTCAAGGGCTTACAAATTTTCAAGGCTTAAGTCCGGTTGCACAAAAATAGTCTCTCGGACCCAAACAATTATAGCCCTTGGCTAACAAAAAAATTGCATCACAACAAAAATATAAGAGCCTAATGTTCCCAACACATACGTCCAAGCCCTAACTTGGCGGGATCACTACGTCTTTTCCTGTACCAAAATCCCACAGGGGTGAGCATAAAGCCCAATAGAGAATTCTTAATAAAGTATATACATTTTATGCAAGCTTTACAAAATGAAAATGTACATGCCATGCTTTGCCTTTTGAAAGAAGATTACATCTACATTTTTTGAGAAACCATCATGCTCAATGATAACTTGAAATCTCAACAATTCATAAATTTACAATTTAATTCAAAGGGGCGGTAAATATGACTCAGGTAATCCCTAGGTTGGTGTCTGCAAGTAGACATAACTAGCACTACCAAAACCCCACTTTATCGGATACTAACTGGAAGGGAAGTGGTACCTCCCCCACGCATGTTTTCGGTCTTTCACCCCGGACACTCATGCCAACTTAATCAATTCCATCTACACCTCCTATTCGAACTTACCAACGTATTTACCCCAAAACATTTCAATAGTTTCATTTCACCACATTTCTTTCTCAATGTAAATGTTTTCAAATTCCAACTCAAATTTTGTAACTATTCAATAATAGAAATGATAATGCAATATATATATATATATATATATCAAGGCAAAATAATAATTTTCCATTAACAATATTTTCTGCACGATTCCTCCGATTCGATCGCAATTCCCATTCTCCTTTCCAATGCAATTTCATCAAATAACACATATGAATATATATATATATATATATCCAAGTGTAGTAATATTTCCACATTTCATGTGTTTTCAACAATTTGTCAATTCATAACTATGTATGTACATGCATTTAACAATAAATTCAAAACAAAATTCCCAAATCCTCATACATCAAGAAAATTGCCATTTTTGCAAACAATAATATGAAATTTCCACTAATTCATTCATTTGACACAAGAAAATCCATAGATTTTCAACATCCACCAAAACCTCCAAATTTCTAGGTTTTTCATCCAAACAATGCATTTCTTCATTTTTTGTTAAAATCTCACCAAAAACATCATTAATGTGATTCAAACCCTCAATAAAATCTTTGAAAGAAAACAAGAGATGAACCCCTTTTACAAAACCACCAATTTCTTGAGCCAAAAACTAATTTTCAAAGCCATCTAAGAGGAAATCTTGAATTTAACCCAAACTTGCAAATATATATATATATATATATATAACTCTAAGAAAATCCCTACCTCGAGTTTTGAAGAAGAGATGAGATGAAACCCCAAAATCAATGGTGTAGAAACTCAATCTCCACTGCACAAAGTGAAGCCTTCGAGAAGTTATCCGACTTTGATGAAGAAACTATGGGCAAAACTTTAATAGATTTAGGCCTGGTTTGGCATACAAGAAAAAATTCAAAAAACTAAAAAGTTACTAAAAAATTTATAAAGTTATCACTATTCACAAATTAAAAATATAAAAACATTAATTTACACAATATTTTAATACAAACCAACGAGTTGACAATGTTGGTACAAATGATGCTCTTATACAATTAGATTGAATTTCTCACCAATTTTTTCATTAAATATTAAAAAATTATTAAAAATTATTCCATCCGTCCCAAAATATTAGTCGCTTATTCCATTTTTCATTCTCCCAAACTATTAGTCCATTTTCAAAAATCAAGTACAAAATAATATAAATTTCCCATTTTGCCATTCTTTTAAATTCATTAACAATATAAAAAGTACAATTATGACATTGATATTCCCCAAAAAATATACTATCAAAGGGTAATTTTAGAAAATCAATTTTTTTAAAGTGCAATAATTTTACTACCAAAAAAAAAAAAATTGGATTCCCCAAAAAGGATCAGTAATTTGGGACGAAGGGAGTATATATATTCATTAAGTTGAACAGTAATATTGGGCCCGTGAGGGCCCACCACGAGTCCTATTTTGATAATCCGAATCGTCAATGTGTAGAACTCATCGAGTACTATATGTCTATAAAAAATCACATTGATCGGATATGGATAGCTATGCGATCAAATCAGATTTTTTTCAACCATATATTTTTCACCGTCCATTAATTTCATACAAAACTGTTTGAATCACATAGCTATCAATATCCGATTAA